CGTTGTAATAACTGCCGTTGCATAAATAAATTGTGAAAATAAATAATGAATTCGAAAGGGACTAGTAGTCCGACGAAAAACTGACAACCAAATATTCGTCTAAAAATATTTAAGTTCTCTTACCGTCCAATAGGACCGCATCAGTGATAACTCAGGAGACAGAGAGACACCAATAGGCACAATTTTGTATTTTAATTCGAATAGCATCTAAGAGTGTTGAGAACACGATCTCTTTCGCGGTTCTTTAATTGCAATGCGGTTGTTGTTGTTGTTGTTGTTGTTGTTGTTGTTATGGTTATTGTTGCAGCTGGTTAATTCCGCTTAAGAGCAGACAAGGCCAGTCGCTGTGTTCATAGTTATTATATAACGGTAAGCGCAAGAGGCGGAGAGAGTTTTGGTGGTCAGCCAAGTGTAGTGTTGAGTAGGAACTCTTCTCATGGAGGACATGAGTTAAATGTCCCGGCGTCGAGAATTCGGGTAAGTAGGAGTTACTTCCGCTACAGTATGCAGACCTTATTTGTGCCAGTATTACGCGAGGCATTTCGAGTTCTTCGTCAATTCTAAGTGGTGGCTGGATTTCGATGACGTCATTTACCAGAAGAGAGCTAACAATGGTTTTGACAGAGTATCTATCAATGGTGCTTAAGGCCTGTCAGTAGGTTGCCATGTCCAACAGCTCCGTTTTATGGCACTGAGGTAGTTAGGAAGAAAGGATCAGCAATAAAGTGAAGGTATTAGACCCGAGAAAGTCCTATATATTTTCTAAAAAAGTTATCTGCTTCCCAGATCTTGCCTCTTTTGGAAGAAAATTTACGTCAGTAACATTAGTAAGCTCGCTAAATATTTACAGTATATACTGTTTGGGGCGATGACCCTCTCGAAAGCTATTTTTTAACTTAACTTTGGTTAGGTTAAAGTTGTAGCTAGGCATTAGCTTGCTTAGAAAACAGATGCCAATGTGAATCCTAGTCACACCAATGGGTAGATTGGGTAAATTGTGCTTTCATTGTATCTTTGCTACCTTTATTACGATGTAATCTCTAAAGCTTGCGACCCTAAAACCTTTAATTTCCTTCAAAGCACACGACATTCGCATAGGAAGTGCACTAAGGTTTTAGATTCTTCTTTCGTCTCTCTTTTTACCTGTCCAATAAAAGAGATCCTCATATTACCAGAAGTCTCCTTTCCTTTCGTTAGCTTATTTTATGCCATGTCGGCAGGGGATGGCAACTCACCCGAGTGTATTTTTAGCATAAAAAAGAAGGCTAATCATAAAAACCATCAGCCTTTCGGAGACGGTCAAGCAGTAAAAATGTACAACAAAGAACACAAGTTTGATAACTGAACTCGTACAACTGCTCACTAGGAGAGCTTACCATAAACTAGTCGTAGGTAAGTCGAACTTAAGTATTCTTCATATTTTTCGTCTCACCGTAGTAAAAGCAAACTCCAGCAATACTAATGAAATTTTCAGTGCATTGTGCCCAGAAGTTAATGAGGACGAAGGTCCTTTTTCTTATAATCAAGTCCAACTAGCGTTACGTGTGAGCCAAAAAAGGGTTGAATTGGGAAGAAGAACGTATTCTTAAGCATGAGTGAGTAGCTCGCAGGGCTGTCTATCGGATGACATGGATTCTCTCAAAGATTAGATACATTAAGACTCTCATAATTCAAAGTTCTATTTCTGGTCTAACATTACGGTGTGTCTTCCAGGAACTGTTCGTCAAAGAGGGTAAGAAAAGCTCACTGCTACCAAGCCCCATAACGATCTTCCACGAACTCTTAAGTTCATTGTCATATATTCGGCATTTATTTACATACTTTGCACCAGCCAGAGCACCATCCAATCCTCCGCTGAGCTCTCTTTTGTGAATTTTTGTCATTTTTCATCTTTGGTTAGTTTAATTTCACATTTTCATGGTCCACCATAATTTTAATTGGATTAACATGATTTATACGATGTTTAGCCTGCAGTCATTTGCCCTCCGCATTAGTTTAAACTATATCAAAACACCTTTGTGGTGACGAGCCGGGCTCAGCACACAGCAGCACTGCACCAGCGGCGACTGCTCCAGTTGTTGTAGCTCAAGCTAAAATCGCAGCTCCACATAGGCAGATACACACATGCACATACACCATATATGATTATTGAAGCATCAGTGGCTTGGATGTAGCGCTCAAGTGGAACTGCTTATTCCAATTCCAATTCCACATGGCACATCGAGGCCCGCAGTGTCGAACTAAGCACGGCATAAAATATTGTTATAAATGTATATAAAAAAGGGAAAATGACAAAAATGAACTCATAAATTATCAGCAGAAATCATAACATGCCAGCCAGCAGCACACACACCAGCACAACGTCACACCAGCAACGGCAGCCAACCGCCACAACATAACTCCGCTGGCCCGATGGTTAAATACAAAGCAGAGCTGCGCGGAAGATCGTCGACTGCGGAGGTACTTATGCTGAAGATCTGCCAGGCGCTTTCGATTGGCTGCTTCATGCTAAGGGCGCGCGCATTTTGGTGGGTTAACAATCAGCCAGCGAACTCACTGCAATGCGCCAAAATCGGTGACTACACAATGCCATTGTTAGCTTGCCGGCTAAAGTTGCTGTTGTTGTTCTTTTATTATTGTCGCGCTGCACACATGTGGCAAATCACAGCACCAATCTTCGTACCGCATTACCTGTGCGCTAAACGCGCTGAAGGTTAACTCACAATGGGAGCAGCAGCTGAGGCAAGTCTCCGCGGAGCCCGGCACTACACTACATACCGGATAGCGCAAGTTCTTACAAGTTAAATGGCAGCCGAAACTATCAATAGGAAAATATTTAAGCGAGGCGCAAACAATTTGGCGAAATAAAGTGAGAAGTGAATGAAAAAAATAAACGAATAAATTGGCAAATGCGACCAAATGGAGACACAATTGACAGGCGCGCACCCCAGGCCAACGTTTGCTTGCATCTGCTGTGGATAATGAAGTACCGAGCGCGAGACGAGTGTGGCACTCGAAAGTCACACGCAGATTTTGCCCAGCTGTAGACGCTTGGGTGTGTATGTATATTTGCATATTTATGAGATTTCAAAGGAAAATATTTTCTTGGTACGATTTTGGGGTTACGGGAATCCCCTTTCGGAATGGGTGCGAGTTCCATCACATAAAATGTGAGATCTATTGATTACTTGAGCTTTTTTCAAGAAGAAAAAGAAATTTCTTCTTAAAAGCGTTCACCAGCTGTTTGAGCTTTTAAGGCATTTAAAAAAATTACTGCAGGGGAATTTGGGTTTTAAGGTTTAAAATAAATTCTGTAGTTTTTATTATAAAAAAAATATAGAACAAGATCTTTTTTCAAGTTTGAACTTAAGCTTTTAAGAATTTTTTGATTTCACACAGAAATTATAGTACAAAGCTTTCAAAGCTTTAAGTCGAAATCACGTATTATTAGAAACAAATTCATAGAAGCATATATTCTTTAGTTATTTTCTGGAAGCGTCAATTTTTGAAAACTATTGTTGTTATATATGTTCATACATATATACCTATATGTACTTTCTATTTCGCAGTTGAGCCTTTAGACTGAACATTTTTGGAATTGCTTTAAAGGCAAGCCTTAGCTCAACTATATATACTATATATTTTGACTTTTTCACGAGCTCTCGCAGCTTTAATTATTTGAGAGCTTTTTCTGTTGAGCTTTTCTGATAGAAAACATTTCCATTTTGTCTAATTTTTTTTTATTCGAAAACACCACTTCTTGAAAAACACTTCCATTCCGCATAAGTCTAAATAAGAAATTCTTAATCCTCTGTGAGAAATATTTCATTACGCCACTGCTTCCAATTCTGCTAAAAATATTACATATGTATATATGTGCATTGTATGGCATTAAGTGAAGGCTTGCACTTCAATTTTATTCAAGGCGTTTTGATTTACAATCCCATTTCGATTATAATCGATGGCTTTTGCGCACTTTTGGCATTGGACACTTTGATTTTAGTAGCTCTTGAATGGAGTTGATTTTTTTTTTATCATATTAAGGTGTGTTTGATGGGATTATGTATGTATGTGGTTATATGTAAAAGATTAGCAAAGGATTTGCTCAAATAAATGAGCAATTTCTTAGAGATAATGTTAGGATAGATTAGACCGGTTGAGTCCAGCGACCCTTATTCAGATGGTACCACACCCATAGTGTTACAAGATACACCGCTTACTATCAAAACTGTACTGCTGCATTTAATTAAAAAAAACACCCAAGCTTCGAATGTATTCTATGTAGTATCCGCTGGAGAAAGCAGAGAAGAGCAAGATTTCTATTTTAGGTGGAAAGATCAGACAAAAAACCAGAAAATGGCCGCGCTGCTATTGGTAAACGATTGGCGCTCTATGATTGATTCGGCAATAAGCGCGTTAGCTTACACCAAATAATAAGAACAAGAAGAATGTTGTGTCCCTAGTTTGAAGAGTATTGATCTATTCTTCGCAATTTGATGTTGTCATTATGACTCTGTCTGATGAGCGCTCACAGGCTCACTATATTTCCTGTACTTCTTGTCCCCAATCAGGCCTAAAAGCATGACATCCGACGGCAATTTACGATTCTCTGTTACTAGTCCTACCATTTTTCTGGCGCCCGACCCTATATGTTTAGCATGTAATTTTCGTTATTCACCAGATTTTATAGCAAGATTGCTTCTTGCATGTGCTTCCATCTTAATTAAAGTCCGATTCTTTTCGTTATGTATCCTGTTTGTTTTGCGGACTCTTGTGCATTGAGTGACCGTCATACGCATAAGCTCTTTTCGCTTGTATCAATTCAAGTTTCGACACTTTGAGATCTTATGCTGCGGTTTTAAGCAAAGCTTTCTATAGCCAGATCATTTCCACGTAAATCATTTATTAGTGTACTTTGCTTACTTTTATATCGAGATCTACCAATTTCATTGCTTGGCTGATAATTTTGTATTATTTACTCTTTTTCGTTTTGCTCTTAGCCTTTGTATAGCCAATAAATACGCTCCATACCCGCACCGCCGAAAAGGGCGGTCGCACAAAGCCACCAAACAACACCATTGTTTGCCCATCAAAGCCAATTAATGTCGCACTCAAAGGACTCACGTTTATAGCAGCTTTTGTCATTACTTCAGAGCTTTCCGCTCTTTTTGGTTATTCCAACCAAATTTGAATTTATTAGCCTGCTTGGCAAACACCTTCGACACAAGCCACCCGCAATGCACAAAGGAAGCGATCCGCTGGCAAAAAAAAAAAAAAAAAAAATCAAATGCAAAAATTTCAAGAAGTTAAGCGGATCATGCACGAGCAGCTGAACAATAAAGAACGAACATCAAAATCCAAAATCGAAAAATCACAAAAACCCAAAATTCGTAAAAGCGTTAAAGTGAAAGGATTAAAGCCAAAGTTAATATTCTTGCTCAGCGCCTCACCGCCAGTTGAGAGCAGGAGGTGATGTGTAAGCAAATCGTAAGTCCGTTGCCGCTTACTATTGTAGTTTTTGTTGATCGGGCGACGCGCAAATTTATGGCAACCACGTGACAAAGTTGATGTCGTCGCCCATTAAATTGCATTTGCCAAAAATCAGCGACAATGAGCCATACACAACTCACAATCGGCGGCGCACAAAGACGTTGGAGCTGCAGTAGACGTCGACAAGCAGCACACAAGCTCACAGTTAAAATGTGGCAAGCGCAGAGTTGGTGCGCCTCACTTTAAGCCATTGTCATTTCAATAATTTGGCGATACGTCGCGTATGCCGGTGCTCCATCCAGCCCGTGGAGTTATTTTAACACCTTTTGCGCTTATGAACTTGTAAGTATGTATGTCTGCATAACTACCTCGCCCGTGTTTTTTCCCCTTGGTTTTTGGGTTAGTGCGAACGCTTCTTCAAAACCACCTTGAAAACCTTAATCCAAAGCGATCGAACGTGTTGAGCGCTTATGATCTGTGCCACAATAATTCACGAGCTTGCGATGTTTTTAATTTTTTGCTTGCAATTCTCTTCTTCCTCGTCTTCTTATTCGCCTGCTTCAAATTCATTGTTCTACGCTGGGCTCCCCACGGCTGTCGCTTTGTATTTTCGTTTGTCAGTTATAAATTTTCGTTATTCTTTGTGACTTGAACGCGTTCAGAGCCAACACTTACGATCCACATGCGACGTTGCGCACACTAAATGATCTCGGCATCGCTTAGCTTGGCGTGAATGTATGCGTGTATGATTGTATGATAATCCATCGATTTATATCACAATGCCAATTGTATCGTTGTGCTGACATCAATGAGTGCTTATTGCCTTCAATCGGCAATGTGGGAATGCGGACGAACTTTATTGCTTCCATATGAAAAAACCAAGTGCGGCAAATTGAAGTTTCCGCTGCTTACCGTGTCGAAGGTACCAACTACGTTTATAGAACCTACGCTTTTTTGCATACGTTTAAGCAAGACTAAGTTAGATAGTTTCTGCGTTACTTTCTCTACTCCCGAGCAGTTTTGACAGTAGCGCTCTTTCAATCGCTTTTAGAGGTGTTTGTTTCCCAAAGTTCCTCCGAACCCTCGAGAGATGGCAAGCACTGGCATCTTGTGTATTGATACCTAAATAATAATGTCTTACATCGGCCGGCCATTATCCAAAACAGAGAAGTTCTCTGGATAAATTCGTTGCCGCAGTGCTGGAGCTAAGGCGTGCTCTAATTGTACCATGAACTTCGGTTATACTAGACAGTGAAACCAGTTTCTTATTTAGAACAGCTTTAGGAGTTCATCGGTCCATTGCTCCAAAACCTCATCTCATAGCCTTCCCATGATAAGAATTCTACCGCTCGCAACTTTTAAATGCGATCACCTTTGCTATCTTAATGAAGTCCTATGAGATCTGAACGACTCAAGTTTATGTCGACCGAGACACCAACTAGCAGCACAGTACACTCTTCCATTCACTTTGCTGCGAAGGAGCACCTCACAATAGCCAGAAGTCAGCGTGGGGCTATTGAAATGTACGCTCTTTCGAACACCTAGAAGTGCATGCACTACGAATATTACACAAGCATTTCTCATCAGAAGAAGCATCCTACCAAGAAGCTTACAATAAGACAGCTTTGTTCTGTTTGCAGGTCGATCAAAACTTAATCCATAGGTCGAACGAACTAAAACGATGTTTAAACCCTTCTACCAACTCAAACGAAGATCTAACATTTTCTCACATTTCTCCACAAACATGCCTCTCCTAAACTAAATAGCAATTTCAAGGTCATAATGAATGGATCATAATTAAATGAATTAGTTCATAAATCCCTTGACAACTTTGCTTTGGAATTGCTTTATGGAGAGCGTTGAGGAAAGTGCAACGGACTTTGGCTTGCAATAAGTACAATGCCAACTCCTACCTGCTCTTTAAGACTGCTTAAGATTAGGTTGGTCGCAGCGTCGGATAGCGGGGGACAGAGAGTTTTCTCGCTGTTGGATCGATATCAGGTATAAAAAGAGTTTACTGCAGCAATGGAGCCAGCAGGGACCTCAATGCTAGTTAGTAAAAAACTTAACTTGAAAACGTCAAACCGAATTTCAATAAGGCTAAGTTGGGCCCAAGGTCACGGTGAAGTTATTGAGAAATGTGAAGTCGGAGTTAATGTCATTTTAAAGAAAGCTAAGCAATACCATAACGTAAACAAATGCAAGAGCTCTCTGGTATGGGGTGGGACGCGAAATACCAGCTGATTTGCTAACACTAACCAAGAAAAAAGTATTCTTTCCAACAGAGACTGCCGAGCTGCTGATGGCAAACAATGAGAAGAAGATTTCTCTCTCGTATATTGTATAGGTACGAAATGCCCAAGCACGACCACAAATTCGACAAAAGTGTAAATAGATGCAATAAGAGTCAATAAACCGTAAGATCAAACGATAAACTTTAACTAGTACATATTTACTAGTTCTGTTCATTTTTTACTGAACGTTACTGAATCGTGTTCGTTGAGAAAAAACCCACTAAAACTAGTAACGAGAGAGCGCAATTTTGACGTTTGGTTTGCAGAGGAAATTTCAAAATCGTGTTGGCCAAATTTCAGCCAGTAGAAACTACCAACTGATTTGTGAATTTATGTCAACAAAATAAAATTGATTTAAAATTAATATAATATTAACAATTTAGTAACAAAGTGCTAAATGTAATTTTGTTAAAATAAATTTAATCATAACAACGATTCAATTAAATAGTTACGGTAAGGTTAAATGCGAATGTGTTGGCAGTTGAGTGGAAACATCGCTCGCTCGCGTACATTTAGGAAATATGTTAGAAATGCTGAAGACTTAGATTTAGAATTTATTCTGATTTTTTTGTGCAATGAAAATTGATTTTTGATTCCTGAAATTTCGTAGGGTGCAGAGTTGACCAAAAGAGTCACGAAGTATTGCCAAGCAAAATGCAATATCTGCCGCATTTGAAATTCGCATATATATTATTTTAAAAAATCGAAGAAACTCTCTAAAAATGTTCAGTTAATATTGCCGGCTTACACGACAAAATAATTCCAAACTCATTTTCGTATTTCAATCATCCTTCCTGAAATTTTAAGATCTAAGCGACAAATTGTTTTTAAGCAAGCTCTATATAAATCACCGTCCCTTTCGAGGGTTATTAGGAATTACATTTTGGTATATGTATCGCTTGTTGGCTATAAAGCATGTAGAATTCCATCACTGCAAAAATACAACAAGTCTTGAATACAATTAATATACAAAAAATGCCACATAGTTGCCACTTTTATTAAAATACTTAGGTAAATACTTTAAATTGGAAACATTAAATGAGCGGATTCAAATTCAACCGTCAAAATGAACAGCTGTTGTACAATTTGCTGACTAATTTTTACTGACATTTCTCTACGAACACAGCTGCAATTCAACTGTGTTCTTATCACTCTTGCGTTTATCGGATTGCGTAGAATTGGCTCGAAAGCTTGAATTTCCCATAGTAGTACTTCTACTATGGACAATAAACGCAATTGATTGGCTAGTTTAAACGAAAGCTATTCGCTTTAAATACCATTGTTTGTGTGACCTACCAGAAGACAGATGTACTTGAACTTCTACTTCAAATCCAAAAAAAAAAACTGATTATTTGATGTGATAAGAAGGTTTAGAAACAACTACTTTTTCATGCTTATCAATGGTATAAATATTATAAGGCCCATCAACGTATTCATTAGTGTTTATCGAAATGTCGTTCAGTTTACTGCGCTACTTTACACTTGGCCTGCTTCTCGCGCTGGGCGCTACCACCGCCTCCACAGACGTGGATTGGTGGGAATCTGCCACACTCTACCACATCTATCCGCGCTCCTTTATGGATAGCGATGGTGATGGTGTGGGCGACTTGAATGGTATTACGTCGCGTTTGGAATTTCTCAAGGAACTTGGCGTCACAGCGACATGGCTGTCGCCCATCTTCGAATCGCCTATGGCGGATATGGGTTATGATGTCGCCAATTTCACGAAAATCGATCCACTTTTCGGCACAATGGAGGATTTCGATGCTATGCTTGCGAAGGGACATAAATTGGGTTTGAAAATTATTTTGGATTTTGTGCCCAATCATTCGAGTGATGAGTGTGAGTGGTTCCAGAAATCGATACGTCGTGAAGATGGCTACGATGATTTCTATATCTGGCAGGATGGTAAAATTGATCCAGAAACGGGCAATCGTACAGAGCCAAACAATTGGGTTAGTATTTTTATGATATATGCATGAGTATGTATATATATATTATATGTGTAACGGAATATTATTAAGAAATGCGTATCTATCTAGAGTTCCGTCTTCCAAGGCTCCGCATGGACTTGGGTTGAGGAACGTCAGCAGTACTATTTACATCAGTTTCTCGCCAAACAACCAGATTTCAACTATCGTAATCCTAAAGTGCGTCAAACTATGCTTGATGTGATGAAATTTTGGCTGGATCGTGGTGTGGATGCCTTCCGTATCGATGCAGCGCCATATTTCGTTGAGAAGATGTTTGACAATGGCACATTCCCCGATGAGCCAGTTTTCGATCCCAGCATTTCTCCAGACCCAAGCGATTTTCGCCTTTACACAATGAATCAACCCGAAAATGCTGAATTGCTCTATGAGTGGCGTTCATTTTTAGACGAATACCAGAGTGTTCATGGCGGTGACACGAGGTGGGTAGAGCGAAGAATTAAAAAAAGAAAAAAATAAAGATACACCTTACACCTGCTTTATATATCGGTATAAAAGGCAGGTGCCTTCTACTCCATCTCTGCTAATATTTTCACCTCTCTCTTTCCCCCTCTTTCTCACTCCGACCATATAGAGCACAGATTATTGAAGCATACACCTCCATCGAATATCTAAGCGAATACATCACTAACGGCACTCATATCGGTGGCCAACTACCAATGAATTTCAATTTCGTCCATTTGCAAAGTTCTTCCACTGCCAAAGATATAGAAGAGGCTGCCAACAACTGGATGGATGTTATGTGGACCAGGCACAAAGTGGCCAATTGGGACGCAAGTAATCATGATAACAGTCGTTTGGCCACGCGCATGGGTTCACAAAGAGTGGATACGATGACGATGATAATGCATTCACTACCCGGTACATCAATCACGTATTATGTAAGTGTGAAAGTTTATGTGAAATATGTGCGAAGGGCATATTTTTCTTATACCCGGTTAATATTATCTACGGAGAAATGCTTCTATTGGAAACGCCTTAAAGTTAACAATTATTTGTATAGCAACTATATGTTATAGTCGTCCGGTTTTATCACTAACACTGTAGGCATTCTTTCCGGATGTGCGAACAAAGTACTAAATTCCTTGGCATCAAATTTTTTCTCCCTTACAAGAACTATGGCACAAGATTTTCTGTTCCCCCAATCAGTTCCATGACAGGCATATGAAAAGTCGACTGATTTTGATAAGTTACTTCAACAATATATTTTTTTCCCAAAAGGGCGAGGAGATCGGTATGCCGGACGGGCAATCTGAATGCACGCCACAATCAACCACTTGTGATTTCCGAGAGCCCGAACGCACACCCATGCAGTGGGATACTTCAAAGAATGCCGGTTTCAGCACGGCCAATTCTACATGGCTGCCCGTGAATGAGGATTACAAGAGTTTGAATGTGCAGATACAACGAGGTGTAGCACGCAGCTCACTACAAATCACGAAGGGTATGATTGCATTGAAGAAAACCGCTGCCTTCAAGGCGTTCAAAGAGGATGGCGGCTTCTCGTATGCTGCTTTGAGTGAGCAAGTCTTTCAGGTTGTCAGGTTTGTTGAAATCATTTTTATATCTCAGACAGTCACAGATATTTAACGAGTGTCAAATGCACTTCTCTAGAACCGCCGTGGGTCGTGAGGAGTATCGCGTACTGGCCAATTTAGGCAATCAGATTGAGTCTTTTGAGGGACTGACTAATAAAACCATGGAGTATGTGCTACTCAACTCATACTCACCGCACAATTATGGGTACGTCCAGGAATACAAAACTAAGGAAACTTTAAAAAATCTCATTTACCTCTTTATATTTTAGTGATAAAGTCGACTTAAGCAAACGCATCATTTTGATGCCCTATGAAGGGATCGTCCTGCGATGGTCTGCGTAGTTTAGGCACGAGCTCGCAAAATATTTTATTTCTCGATTAATTTTCCAATAAAAAAGTAAAATTTAAATAAAAATTAATTTGTTAAAGAGTCTTCAAATTGTTTTCAAATCTGTTTAAAAGGTACGTATAATAATAGCAACATTTTTTTAAGTATTGCCACTTCTTGAACTAAAACTTATATCTCCTGTATTTCTATGGCCAACCAGGATTTCTGAATTATTTACTTGATTTACTAACTAAGTTTAACTCAGTTTAATCCTCAATCAGAAGAAAGACAGTTTGATTATCTGTTCACTGTGTTCAAAAACTGCATCGGTATCGTCCTTGCGAATTGGTTAAAAGAGGGACCTTCCATTTATTCAGGCCATCTCCGTGCGGCCGAAGAATTTTGATGAGGTGGTTTTTTTTACATGTGAGAAATACACTCGAAGGGCTTGATATTCATAGCCGGGAGCGGCCGCAATTAAAAAAAAAATATTTTCCTATAGTTTTCGAATTTTGTTTTAGCCAGAACTGAAATTCTGGCCTTCAGAATGAAACGGCGTAACACTAACCAACCGGCTAATGCGTCCACAGGCCTGATACACTTTCGCATAAGGAGAACCATTGAAAATCTGTGAGCTTTCTACCGCGGAGTCGACGGACTCGGATCCGCTACTTATTATGTCAACATAACTTTATTTAAAGAATTTATCAGTGAAAATTAGAAAAAAAAAATGCCAATGATTCATGCTCAATAACCAAATTATAGATGGGAAAAGCCCAATCGCTTTTTGCAATTCCAGTAGTAGAGACGTCTGCTATGGCTAATAATACTGACGTTTAAATTATTTGCCATAAACACAATTACTTATCAGACCTACACAAACTTGGGAGATTGTACCATTGAACGCACTTCGCACTTGAAATGCAAACCACACCGCACCTTACCCGCACCTAAACAAATCGTCAGAGGCTTTCACTAGCCAAACTTTATCAGCACGATAAGAAGTTTTGAAAGCAATATTAAAGGAATTTGAAAAGATCGCAGCTGATCCGATTGGTTATTTTTCATTCACAATAGTACATATAGCCATAAATTTTCAACAGTGTTGCCAAGGGAAAATTTTCCACTAATTCTCTATATTCTTCAGAGTTATGTTTGGAGTCAGAAAAGGATTTAGCTGCACTAACTCTAGAATAAATCCTGATTAATGCAGTTATATTCCAATCCCTTTTGGGCAATTGATCGGGCAGTATCAGCCGGGTTATTGCACTTATATATGTATGTATATGCATGAATTTGTATTAAATGTCTTCTTCGTTTACCATCTGAAATCTACCTCGTAGCGCATGCTACTCTCACGGCGTTTAAGGGAGTCGGCATTCCTCTTGAAATCTGATCATGAGTTTCGAAGAATAGAATATCGTACTTCCTGTGCCGAACGTTTCCCCTCGACTCCTACAATTCAATTGCAACGGACTCCAGGGGAAGATCGATGAGATAGTCGCCTACACGAGCCGGGAGCACCTGTTAATTGCTGCGTTCCTGGAAACGAAGTTGGCCGACCGCTCAGATCTTTTAAGCCGGGCCGTATACAACATAATCCGCAAGCATCCCGAGCGAGACCATGGTGGGCCTTAGCGTTGATCATGCATAACACCGTGCAGTATCGTCTTGCCGACGGCGACAAGGACCGCAGGGATGCCAAGCTCGAGATATTTAATATATATATATTCCTCCTGTTACAAGTTGCACAGTTGGATATAGCTCTGATATAAGTGTGCCACTCAGAGGCGAAAAACCGTTTGGTTTTGGGCGCCTATAAGGATCTCGATTGATAGGCCTTCCAACTTTGTTTCCGCGGATCACTGGACATTTGGATATTTGGACACGGAATTTACTGAGAACGCCGTTAGTGCTCTCCCCACTCTATCAGACGTCACTACTGGTGAACGTTACCTCCGCAGAGTCGTCGTGACCGCTGCCACCCGCTTCATCCCGATAGCCCAAATCGAGAAATTTCGCCTCAATATTCCGAAAGAAGCGGCGGTGTTAGCATCAAGACGCGACACCCTTCGAAACTCCGATCCCGGGAATCCCCTAATCAGGTATTCAAATGCGGAAATTCGCAGAGTAGTGAACAACCACAAGCGGAAAAAGTGGGAGAAACACTTAAGGACCAGTAATCTCTCCTCTGGGGCAAACAAACTCTGGGCTACAGTCAAGTCATTGTCTAACCCGACGACACGCGTTGACCCGGTGGAAATTTTAATCGGTGATTAAGCCTCGTCGGACCCGAAAAGATGCGCGAGCTATTTTAGCCGACTTTTTACACTGAATGAAACACAGATGCAGAAGCTGCAGGCCTGCCAGAAAACCGCCTTCAGGACCACGACAGGAAACCTCCTGATGCCGCCGTAGCATCACTTACACAGTGCAGCATCTATGCTACTAGATAGGGAGCATAATTAATGCTTTGCTGTGTCATCAATTCCTATTGGGATGCTACCGTAGGGAACACCCCAATAGGCACCTTATTGAAGCTCAGCCATCACCTAGGCACATATGAAAGGGAGTACTTGACATTAAGGATATAATCCAACAATATGCGCAACAACCGCTGGACAGGACAGCGTAAAGACAGGCACAGAGACTGAACGCCATTCATCAGGAGTCAGTCAACACCTTCAAGACTCCCTTCCCGTGCATGGCATGCTCGGAGAAAAACCACCACTCATAGAAAACACGGAGCTCGAGCATCCTCGAGTGACTCGCGTAACCTTGGCCCAACTTAGGTTTGGATACTGTAGCAGGTTTAACTCCCACTTATCCAGACTCGACCCCAGCATATTCAATGTATGCTCTGCATATGGAGAGTCTCCGCACGACGCTAACCACCTCTTCACATGCCCCTCTCACTAGATGACCTCGGCGACTTAAATTGAACAAACCTGTAGCTAACAACAACAATCACGTAATTTGGGAATTTCCTATTGATATAAAGAAACATTTACAGTGAACGACATAGAGTATAAATTACGTCCTGAGAAAGAAAAATCTAAACGAAATAAATGCCAATGATTCATGTTCAGGAAAATTATAGATTGGAAATCCCAAGCACGAGTGCGAATTCCAGTAGTAGCGTGAGAAAAAAAATTTCAAAAATTTTGTGAATATTTTTAGATCAGTCGATGGATGTCTACAACGACCAATATTAAGCGATAATAGAGATAAAGGGTGTGTTTTTGGTCAATGGCACAATACTTTCTTCGGTGTTGGGCTTTTTTACAGATTTTGCTTTATCGGTTGGCGACCATGGAACGGTTTCGCATCACGTACGTACTCTAGTGCATAATGCGCTTTCTTGGAAACGCCGTGCAGCATGAATATGTTACTGCTGCCGAGTACCGAAGAATGCCCGAATGAGTAGTAGCTGTGCCCATCCACTTTATAGATGATTTTCGCCAAATCTAAAAGTCTTAACTGTTTGGAGAAACATTTGGCGAGCCTGCGGCGTGCCATCTCAGATCGTGCGATTCAGCACGAAGCCGCTTATATATATATATATAGGCGCTTTGTAACCGCTGAAGCGATTTGCCGACACTTATATGCGCATATAATGCCGAGACAATTCCATAGAACAGAATATCATTTAAAAACATAATGGCAAACGATTATCTTTATTATAAATTTAAATTCTTAACCACACCATTAAATTATATATGTTTTAATCCTCTTTGAAGCCTCATGTCTGAAAACATACCCTTTATCTAACTACTTTTAAATACAACTACTTATCAGACCTACAATAACTTCTGTGTATTTCCTACACACTTGAGATGCAAACAACTGTATTTGTTGATAGGATCTGACTTAATCGCATCCAGCCAGACCAATATTGCTCTCTCAGCGTGATAAGAAAGTTTGACTGTTTTTCCATAATTTATGGTTAGACCCTTCACTACTCACTACCTACTAATGGCCGGTAGTATAAATATTAGTTGGCGCAGCACTGCCTTCCCTAGTTCTTAATGAAATGTCGTTCAGTTTACTGTCATACTTTACACTTGGCCTGCTTCTCGCGCTGGGCGCCACCACCGCCTCCACTGACGTGGATTGGTGGGAATCCGCCACACTCTATCACATCTATCCGCGCTCCTTTATGGACAGCGACGGTGATGGTGTGGGCGACTTGAATGGTATTACTTCGCGTTTGGAATTTCTCAAGGAGCTGGGCGTCACAGCGACATGGCTGTCGCCCATCTTCGAATCGCCTATGGCGGATATGGGTTATGATGTCGCCAATTTCACGAAAATCGATCCACTTTTCGGCACAATGGAGGATTTCGATGCTATGCTTGCGAAGGGGCATAAATTGGGTTTGAAAATTATTTTGGATTTTGTGCCCAATCATTCGAGTGATGAGTGTGAGTGGTTCCAGAAATCGATACGTCGTGAAGATGGCTACGATGATTTCTATATCTGGCAGGATGGTAAAATTGATCCAGAAACGGGCAATCGTACAGAGCCAAACAATTGGGTTAGTATATTTATGATATATGCACGAGTATATATATGTATATATATTACATGTGTAACTGAATATTATTAAAAAATGCGTATCTACCTAGAGTTCCGTCTTCCAAGGCTCCGCATGGACTTGGGTTGAGGAACGACAGCAATATTATTTACACCAGTTTCTCGCCAAACAACCGGATTTCAACTATCGTAATCCTGAGGTCCGTCAAACTATGCTTGATGTGATGAAATTTTGGCTGGATCGTGGTGTGGATGCCTTCCGTATCGATGCTGCGCCTTTTTTCGTTGAGAAGATGCTCGAAGATGGCACATATCCCGATGAGCCTGAATCTGAAGGTGGTTCTCCAGGTCAAGGGGGTCAAGGCGGTACTCAAGGTCCTGAAGACCCTGAAGGTCCTGAAGGTCAAGACGGCCCGGGAGGTCAGGGAGGAGGTCAGAGTTTGCGTACTTATACCACCAATCAACCTGAAAATGCTGAATTAATATATGAGTGGCGTGCGTTTTTAGACGAATACCAGAGTCTTCATGGCGGTGAAACGAGGTCAGTGGAATAAAAAAAATTACAATCAAAAAACTAAATATAAACCTAAAAATTGCCTGTATATTTCTTCAACCTCCATGTTTCCCTCCCTCTAGAGCACAAATTATCGAAGCATATACAGAGGTTGAATACCTAAGCGAATACATCACTAACGGCACTCATATCGGTGGCCAACTTCCAATGAATTTCAATTTTGTCCGGCTGGAAAATACGGCCACTGCCACAGATATTAAACAAGCCGCCGACGAGTGGATGGATGTTATGTGGACCAGGCACAAGGTGGCCAATTGGGACGCAAGTAATCATGATAACAGTCGCTTGGCCACGCGCATGGGTTCACAAAGAGTGGATACGATGACGATGATAATGCATTCACTACCCGGTACATCAATCACGTATTATGTAAGTATGGAAGTTCATATGGAATGTGTGCGGTGCGGTGAAAGCTTTGTTATTTTACCCATAATAAAGTTTCTCGGTGTAACCATATTTGTTCTTATCAGCTTACCTCGAGAAATGATAATAGTCCGATTATTCTCGATAGAATCCACACTTCTCGCGATTTAATACCAATTAATTACCCAAAACGATACATCATGTTTAATATAATTTTTTACTCAATAGGGCGAGGAAATCGGTATGCCTGACGGTCCAATTGATTGCCCCCGAGCCTCAGACACATGTAATTTCCGTGATCCAGAACGTACACCCATGCAATGGGACACTTCAAAGAATGCCGGTTTCAGCACAGGCAACTCCACATGGCTACCCGTGAATCCGGGTTACAAGAGTTTGAATGTGCAGGTACAACGGGGTGTTGCACGCAGCTCACTACAAATCACGAAGGGTATGATTGCATTGAAGAAAACCGCTGCCTTCAAGGCGTTCAAAGAGGATGGCGGTTTCTCGTATGCTGCTGTGAGTGAGCAAGTCTTTCAGGTTGTCAGGTTTGTTGAAATCATTTTTATATCTCAGACAGTCACAGATATTTACGGAGTGTCAATTGATTTTCTTTAGAACCGCCGTGGGTCGTGAGGAGTATCGCGTACTGGCCAATTTAGGCAATCAGATTGAGTCTTGTGAGGGACTGACTAATAAAACTATGGAATATGTGCTACTCAATTCTTACTCACCACACAGATACGGGTATGTCTAGTAATATCAGTATAAAAGTTATCGAAAGAAAGCCCTATAATAATTCTTCAATTTTTAGTGATAAAGTTGACTTAAGCAAACGTATTGTTTTGATGCCCTATGAAGGAGTTGTTCTACGATGGTCTGCGTAATATAATCTAATCTATACCTAATACTTCTCTTGTCTATTGTGGAATTGAAAGAACCCAACTCGGCATCGCAGCTTGCATCTGAGTCTGTATGGAGCTAAACAGATTGTAACACCGCAACACAAGTTTTGTGACTTTTGTCATTCACGGATAGGTACAGGCAAGATGGAAGGATCGGTAGAGAAGTTTCCTAACCCATTTGATATCGCTCTCTCTCTCTCTCTTTCTCTGTCATCATTAGTAATAATATTTATAGATATGTCTTGTTGTTGTTTTCAAAGTTATGCGACAATAAACTTAATGCTCTCCTGACATGTGTGCAAAGAGAAGAAAATATATTTAATCTGTGATTTCACACATACATACGTCCAGCTACAGATAAAAAAGCATACAACACAGCGTAGCGCTCAAAAACATCCACCAATAGATGCCGCCGCGTTAGCTATCAAAAATGGCTCATCTCATTGAATGATATTTCTATTTGGTGGTATTCTTGTTTTTGTTTTGACATTTCTAACTTCTATGGAGCTTCTTGCCATTATATTATATGTACTACTAGCATTTAACACAGTCCCTGCGTGTGCGACATGCGTAACGAGTTATATTTCAGGTGGTGGCGGTGGCGATCTGTTCAGGGGGTCATATATACAAGTTCTTTAGTTCAAGAATGGATGTCTAACCTACATACATATGTACATGCTTGTGTATAAGTATGTACAGTCTATCAATTTGAGATCAAACCTTTTTCAAAACATTGATTTCGAAATGACTGCCATGGGATGTTAGTTTGAGGTAACGTCGTTAATCGCTTTAGATGCTGTTTATACTTTAATCATATGCCAAAATGTGGAAATTCTCGCGAGAATTGCTTATAGTGGAAATGAAAAAGTAAAAAATTATTTTTAAACATCATATTCGAAATGACTTGAGCACAACAATTTTGATGAGCAGCGAAACGCAAAAATAAAATAAACACAGAGGCAGCAGAGAGTGTATCAGTGGACCTTTTCATAACGACTGTTGCACATAATTCCTCTCTAGAAAAGAGGGAATTTCCTTGGAAAGCGATGCAACCAATTTAAATGATTAGTTGGCTATCTGGCCAGTAGAATTTAACATTTCAAAATTTACGATCAATAGGCCGTTGAATATTTTAAGTAAGCATATCTGTGGGCCTCCCAAAGAAGTGAGTACTTAAAAGTCGCCTCCCAAAAAAAAAAACCTTTAAAAGAGCGCCCAATGTTTACGAGATGAAATGAGTTAAATGGTGCTCTCTTATATGCCATTAAGGTGGTTCATAAATTGTGACCAAAACAAATGTCTTTATTTCTATGGAATGGAATGACATAAACCTTCGCCGATAAGCGACCATTCAAATATGTATCTATGTAAATATATAAGTTATATACCGTATCTGTTATCTAAGAGAGCTATAATTTTCAATACTCCTTAATGCACAGAGATGCCTTGGTGTGATATACTTGTACGTGATTTGCTAACATACATACAAATACCAAAACAAGCCATTGAAAAACTGACCGGAAGCTATTTTTTATCAGCGTGACAAGAAGATAACTTTTTGGTATAAATATTAGTAGCCGCAGCCCTGTTTTAATTAGTTCTCACCAAAATGTCGCACGGTTTATTACGATTATTTGCAATTGGGTTGCTTATCGCTAATAGCGTTATCGCCGCTACCACCGACGTCGATTGGTGGGAGTCCGCCACACTCTACCACATCTATCCGCGCTCCTTTATGGATAGCGACGGTGATGGTGTGGGCGACTTGAATGGCGTTACATCGATCCACTTTTCGGCACAATGGAGGATTTCGATGCTATGCTTGAAAAGGCGCACAACTTGGGTTTGAAAATTATTTTGGATTTTGTGCCCAATCATTCGAGTGATGAGTGTGAGTGGTTCCAGAAATCGATACGTCGTGAAGATGGCTATGATGATTTCTATGTGTGGGTGGATGGTAAAATTGATCCAGAAACGGGTATTCGTACAGTGCCAAATAATTGGGTTAGTATATTATATATATGTGTGTAACTCAGTGTTATTAAACAAACGTGTCGTATATGCTTAGACATCTGTTTTCGGTGGCGCTGCATGGACTTGGGTTGAGGAACGTCAGCAATATTATTTACATCAGTTTCTCGCCAAACAACCGGATTTGAATTATCGTAATTCTAAAGTCCGTCAAACTATGCTTGATGTGATGAAATTTTGGCTGGATCGTGGTGTGGATGCCTTCCGTATCGATGCTGCGCCTTATTTCATTGAGAAGATGCTCGAAGATGGCACATTTCCTGATGAACCATATACCGATCCCAACCTTCCTTTAGAATCAGAACTTCATCGTATTTACACAACCAATCAACCTGAAAATGCTGATTTAATATATGAGTGGCGCGCGTTTTTGGACGAATACCAGAGTCTACATGGCGGTGACACAAGGTGAGTAGAACATGGAAATTTATCCTTTATAAAGGTATGCACTTCATCTCTCACTCCCTCTCCGTCTAGAGCGCAGATAATCGAAGCATACGCACCTATTAGTATTTTAAGCGACTACGTCGGTAACGACACTCATGTCGGTGGTCAACTGCCAATGAATTTTAATTTCGTCCGGTTGCAAAGTTCTTCCACTGCCAAAGATATTGAAAGTGCCGCCAACAACTGGATGGATGTTATGTGGACCAACCACAAAGTGGCCAATTGGGACGCAAGTAATCATGATAACAGTCGCTTGGCCACGCGCATGGGTTCACAAAGAGTGGATACGATGACGATGATAATGCATGGACTTCCCGGGACATCTGTTACGTATTACGTAAGTGCTGAATCTCCTTTTCGTTAGTATCAGAAGTACACATATCATTTTGTCCGAATTTTTTGTTCTTAGTTTTTTAATTATTTAAATTCAATCTATCTTAAACATATTACGTTTATTTTATTATTTTAATTCTTTCCCAAAAGGGCGAGGAGATCGGCATGCCTGACTGGTCAATTGAATGCAACCAAGACACAGATACTTGTAATTTCCGTGATCCCGAACGTACACCCATGCAATGGGACACTTCAAAGAATGCCGGTTTCAGCACAGGCAACTCCACATGGCTACCCGTGAATCCGGGTTACAAGAGTTTGAATGTGCAGGTACAACGGGGTGTTGCACGCAGCTCACTACAAATCACGAAGGGTATGATTGCATTGAAGAAAACCGCTGCCTTCAAGGCGTTCAAAGAGGATGGCGGTTTCTCGTATGCTGCTGTGAGTGAGCAAGTCTTTCAGGTTGTCAGGTTTGTTGAAATCATTTTTATATCTCAGACAGTCACAGATATTTACGGAGTGTCAAATGATTTTCTCTAGAACCGCCGTAGGTCGTGAGGAGTATCGCGTGCTGGCCAATTTAGGCAATCAGATTGAGTATTTGGAGGGACTGACTAACAAAACCATGGAGTATGTGCTACTCAACTCATACTCACCGCACAATTATGGGTACGTCCAGGAATACAAAACCAAGGAAACCTTAAAAAATCTCATTTACTTCTTTATATTTTAGTGATAAAGTCGACTTAAGCAAACGCATCATTTTGATGCCCTATGAAGGTGTAGTTTTGCGATGGTCTGCATAAACTGTTCCGAGATAGTATTTCTAGACTTATTAATAAAATTAATAAATAAACATTACAACGTTTCCAAACTTTACAGAAAGATCACGAAGTGATTTTCCCGAAGAAATAAAGTACATGTAATTTAACAATATGCGGGCGAATAGCCTAATTTTTGACCACTTTTGGCAGCAGTTAATTGGATCGCTCGATCTTTTAGACCACGCTGCAGGTAGATGAACCGAGATGGTGTACTCACAAAAGGTTTCTTTCAATAAATTGCTTGTTTCGTGACAGAAAAAAAATCAAACATTGACTTTTTGAGAATGGAACTGCGTTCCAACATGGGTTTTTGGGTTATTATTACTCCAAATGCTACAATTTTTTGTTTTAACATACCCATTTAACCAAAAGTGAGCTTTATCACTGAACAGAATTTTCTTGTGAAAATCTGGTTCATGGACTAACTCATTTTAGGCCCATTCATCGTATACGGGTACAGCTCTAATTGTTGAGCGCAATGGCGGATGCAATCATTCGGAACCTCTCTCGGGTACAATATTTTTCAGCAGATAATAGCGGTAATATATTCAGGCTTCCTAATCGATTCTCTCATTCGCTCGCTCTCTCTCCTCTCTCTCGCTTGTATAACTTTAGTAATAGCATTTGTGTCTCTCCCAGATATTACTTATCACTTTTTGTGACGCTTTCAGTTGGTACCGTTTTTGTTATTTTTTATTTGCTATGAACCAATATTTCCGGCCTCCAATGCTCGCTTTTCATTATCAGCACTACTAATACTTACAATATATTCAATTTGAATGATTAATTGCGCATGTTCATAGGTAGGAATAAAATAAAGGGTAGGTCATCTACTGTTTGTGTTTGAAACTACGGCTTAATTGAACTCACTCCCATTTCATTTTCACCTCGTCGACAACGTTAATAAGCCAACCTGTCATATTTGTGGTTCAAAAAACCCACAGATAACTTTTCTCAACGAATGACTGTTAGGCGCAAGATGTGGACGGGCGACATCATTCGTCCAGGAAACTGTCGTTACTATGCCGTGCTCAGAAATTATAATTTTTTTTTCCAAGGACTATGTAAAGTTTCGATCTTTTGAACACTGGCGGCGAACCGGCGGCGTCAACTGGCCGACTCATAGCAGCCGTTTGACGCCGTTGGACAATTTTTTGCTAGGAGCTATGAAGGATAATACTAACCATCCAAAGGTGGCAGGTCAATCAAAGAAGTGTTGAAAAATTTAGTCGCCAGACAGAACGATATAGGCTAATGCAAATTCAACAGTCGCAGCCATATGAACGCAGTGGAATTCGAGCCATAATTGAAATGTTAAGGCAATGAAGGTCTCATTGAAATTTTTTTCTCCGCATTTATTTAAATTCAATTTGAAAACGCAATTTTTTCGTGGACTACTCTCATTGTTAGCGGAGAAATAGTTAAACGATTAGCAAACGTAAATGACTGCCCATGCGTGAGCATGTCAGGTAGATAGCATTGAGTGGATTGTGAAATCAAACATTCACTTCCGTATACGTGTGCCCTGCCAACTAGCAGTGTGATACACAAAAGTGAGGGAAACGCAGTAATAGCAACGTCTGATCGATTGTGATAGCTCAATAAGCTCAAAACATGGCCACTCAGTTGATACCATCTCTCTTATGAGATCGCCATGTTTATGAAAAATTATCACTGTCTGTTCTCTGTATAACTGACTCAACTGATTTATCGCTATTGTACCAGGCTATCAGTATAGAATTTCTTAAAGCAATTATAAGTAAATCAAGTCTGAGCAATCACAGAGTTTTCCGTATTGCATAAAATGTAGAAATCTTTGGGATTTGCAACAAATTTTACTTCATTTTACCGAATATATGATCAAAACGTTGGATCCTGGACTTTCGGAAATCAACACCTGTACACGTATATTATTACGGACTCTATAGCCGAGTGATTGGCATTAGCACGGTTCGAGTCCTAATTCGACCAACATCCAAAATTAGAGAAATATAATTGTTTTAACTGCGGTCACCCCCCGGCAGGTGCCAAGGGTTCAAACTCTTCGAATGTATTGTATTTCTGACATGAAATAAAAGCTTCGCTATAAGTTTCTAGGTGCATATATCCTCACCACCTTACTTGAGATACAGATAGCTGTATACGTGTTGATATAAATGTAGGAAATTCGTCAACATGATTTGAAATTTCGCACCCAAACAGCTCATTGAAAAAATTCCAGCAAAGCACTCACAGATCATGGACAGATAATTCGGAAGCCGTCATTTCACCAGCGAGATAAGTAAATTTGGCCATAACTGTTTAATCATGCTTCTTGATAAGACCATTCATCGCTGTTGAGAGGTAATATAAATATTAGTTGGCCCAACACTGTATCCACTAGTTCTAATTGAAATGTCGTACCATTTGTTACGGTTATTTACAATCGCGTTGCTTATCGCTAATAGCGTTATCGCCGCGACCACCGACGTCGATTGGTGGGAGTCCGCCACACTCTATCACATCTATCCGCGCTCCTTTATGGATAGTAATGGTGATGGCGTGGGCGACTTGAATGGCGTTACGTCCCGCTTGGAATTTCTCAAGGAACTTGGCGTCACAGCGACATGGTTGTCGCCCATCTTCGAATCGCCTATGGCGGATATGGGTTATGATGTCGCCAATTTCACGAAAATCGATCCACTTTTCGGCACAATGGAGGATTTCGATGCTATGCTTGCGAAGGCGCATAAATTGGGTTTGAAAATTATTTTGGATTTTGTGCCCAATCATTCGAGTGATGAGTGTGAGTGGTTCCAGAAATCAGTACGCCGTGAAGATGGCTATGATGATTTCTATGTGTGGGTGGATGCTAAAATCGATCCAGAAACGGGCAATCGTACAGTGCCAAATAATTGGGTTAGTATATTTATGATATATATATATCTGTACGAAGTTGTCACAACCAAATGCGTTCGCCATATCAACCTAGATATCCGTCTTCGATGGTCCCGCATGGTCGTGGAATGAAGAACGTCATCAATATTATTTACATCAGTTTCTCGCCAAACAACCGGATTTGAACTATCGTAATCCTAATGTCCGACAAACTATGATTAATGTGTTAAAATTTTGGCTGGATCGTGGTGTGGATGCCTTCCGTATCGATGCTGCGCCGTATTTTGTTGAGAAGATGCTCGAAAATGGCACATATCCCGATGAGCCTGTTGATGACAGCATTCCTCCAGGCATGGGCGGTTCGCGTAAATACACAAGTAATCAACCTGAAAATGCTGCATTGATGTATGAGTGGCGCGCATTTTTAGACGACTACCAGAGACTTCACGGTGGTGACACAAGGTAAGTCGGACATAAAAAGTAAACAAAAACAACTACTGATATCAACAAATTTAACAATCGCCTATCTTTTTATTCCTATTCCACTTCTTCATTCCACATGTCTTCACCTCCTATCTCCCTCTACCTCTAGAGCTCAAATTATTGAAGCATACGCCCCTATCGGTATTTTAAGCGAATACATCACTAACGGTACCCATGTCGGTGGCCAACTACCAATGAATTTTAATTTTGTCCGGTTGCGAAGTTCTTCCACTGCCAAAGATATTGAAAGTGCCGCCAACAACTGGATGGATGTTATGTGGACCAGGCACAAAGTGGCCAATTGGGACGCAAGTAATCATGATAACAGTCGTTTGGCCACGCGCATGGGTGCACAAAGAGTGGATACGATGGCGATGATAATGCATGCACTGCCCGGAACGTCTGTAACGTATTACGTAAGTGCTGAAGCTCCCAGGAACATGGTCTCAGCCCCACCTATGAGCAAGTCTTTCTTTGTTTTAAAATTTAATTTTTGAGCAATTTACACACTATCAAAAGCTTTAGCCCACTGCTGAAATCTTCTTAATTAGGAAAATTTTAATAGTTCAATCTGTCAAATATTTTCCCATTATTTCAAAACTAAATTTGGTTATTTAAAGGGCGAGGAGATTGGCATGCCTGACGGTCCAATTGACTGCCCCCACGGCTCAGAAACTTGTGATTTCCGTGATCCCGAACGTACACCCATGCAATGGGATACTTCAAAGAATGCCGGTTTCAGCACAGGCAACTCCACATGGCTACCCGTGAATCCGGGTTACAAGAGTTTGAATGTTCAGGTACAACGGGGTGTGGCACGCAGCACACTACAAATCACGAAGGGTATGATTGCATTGAAGAAAACCGCTGCCTTCAAGGCGTTCAAAGAGGATGGCGGTTTCTCGTATGCTGCTGTGAGTGAGCAAGTCTTTCAGGTTGTCAGGTTTGTTAAAATCATTTTTATATCTCAGACAGTCGCAGATATTTACGAAGTGTCAAATGATTTTCTTTAGAACCGCCGCGGGTCGTGAGGAGTATCGCGTACTGGCCAATTTAGGCAATCAGATTGAGTATTTGGAGAGACTGACTAACAAAACCATGGAGTATGTGCTTCTCAATTCTTACTCACCCCACAAAAATGGGTATGTTCAGTAGACTTAAAGTAAGAGTTCTTTAAGGAATAACATTTATTTTACTCTCTAAATAAAGTTGACTTAAGCAAACGTATTCATTTGATGCCCTATGAAGCGGTGGTTCTACGATGGTCTGCGTAATCCAATCTTATACTCGTATAATATTACTAAGTTAATTTATAAAAATAGATGAAAATACAATAAATTTATTATATAATATTGAAATCCAAAGTTCTGACCTAGGCAATCTAAGTACGTAGAACTAATTAGTTGCTAATCCAGTATGAGGCGAGCTTTCTTGGAGAATAGAATAGTCAATATACCAAGTTAACAATTGGGTTTTCAGTGGAGCGACAAGAGTTTAGCGACAAAACCGAATGAAGTCGATACAAACACCCGACTGATATTACCGAATTAGAATTTTGGTTATTGTTATTAATTGCCAACCTGCGCTATGTTCACTCAGCCAGTCGATATTTTAGTTTTCTTCGATTCCCTTATGTGCTTCAATTCTCTTCGCTAGCAGGCAATGTTGTTGATATATTTCTAACCATAGTTCTTATTATTAACCAGTCGTTGTAAGATCATGTGGACAACTTGTAGAGACTTCAGCAGGAACGCAGTGAACCCTATTGGTTTTCCTATCATTTGACTCTTATGACCGCCGTCAAAGTGACGTGACTTTTGAATTGTGCTTACTGTGGCTATCGTCTGAGCTTACTCCTCCGTCTTCCCCTCTTCTCATCTCATTCCAGGTGAACATCCACATTGAGGCACTGGCATAAACGTCTCAGAGAGAGAAAGTATCAAGAAAAGTACTCGAACCAGAAGGCTGGGCTTCACGGATCTGGCTAATGTGTATTTGTTATTGACACCTGAGAAAATCTCGATTCAATCACCACACCCATATGTGGTTTTATTAGAATGTGGAAAGATTTGAAGTTTTATTTTAGTGGTTAAGCGGATCTCATCCGTTCGTTTGGCGTATTTTGGAAGATCTATCGACGGCACTAGTAGAAGACCTTCATCATGTGTTCTTTTTTGAACTGATCACATTCAATCTCTGTATGCCGATCCTCGACACCACTTTTCCAAAAAGCGAGTCAATTCTCGCTGTCTCTAAGTACCTGTGTCCATAAGGGGGCGAAGTAGTGCCTCATCACGAATTTCGTAGAAGAGTAGTAAAGATCTAATTTATCTGAGCTCACATAGAAAACACTACAGTAGGGGAATCAAGGCTTCTCTATTCTTAGTATTTTTTACAATTAAGAACCCTCCAGCTATGCGAACTTTTTTCGGTCCCCTTGTGTTTATATATCTGTTAGCCATGAATTTCGTCAACCGGTAACTCTCAGCTCGACACGACCAAACAAACAGACAAACAAGCATAATGTGGCTCCAAGTTGAGAATGGAAAGACTAAAACCATTACCCAACAGAAGACGAGTGACAATTTGATTTATCGCCGCACTTTTGCTTAAATATGGCAATTTTAAGCGGCGCAACAACACGACGGCAAAATACATCACTACAAAAACTCTACGCACCATAACCGCTCATAATCGCACCAACAAAATATGTTTGCAGTAAAGATTTGTTGGAAGCCGAGCAATGAGTTTAATGGCACATACGACGCGCAGACGTTACTTGGTGCAACAACGGCAGCAGCAGTTACGGTGGACGCAAATTATAATAAAATTTGGTCGACAAACCAACGAGCAGTCGAGCAGGCGATCAAGCGGCGGAACAACAGCAATCAATGCGAAATGCCAATGGCATTATGGACACAACACTCAGGAACACCAGCAGCAGCAGCAGCAGTCGCGACATGATACAATAATTTTACAATTCCATTGGTTACGTTTAGTACCTTGCGGCCAGCCATCATTTCTGCAGCTTACCCAGCTGTTTATTCTGTGCTGAGTGCCGACTACCGTTGCTCTCCGCCACTACTCATATCCAGCGCTACGCTGCGGCGCGCTCGGTGTTATAATTCAAATTTTGCTACTACCAATGATGCTCCTATTGCTCTTCTAGTTGTCCCCATTGTTGGCGGTTAGCTCTGCATAACTAAATGTGCCGCATTGTGGTCTGCTGCTTTGAAGCTTATTTTCGTTTATTTTTTTTCTGGCTGTAGCTGTGTGATTGTACTGCTGCCGTTGTTGTTATTGTAGTAGCGTTTTTATCATTTTCGCCTTTATGCGCTGAGGCATAAGTTGTTGATCGACATTGCCGGCTGGAGCTTAATGCTGTTAAGTGCATATGGAATGGGTTCTTTTCCATAACTCCGGTAGTCTCGGAGACTAATATTTTAGTAATTTTACAAAGCCTCATTAATAGACTCTCCGGCAGTCAGAGTTCTGACTTCTCACGTAATCCCATTCGCACATAAATTTAACTATTTAGCAGAGATTTGTTCGATTAAAAGTCTTAAGCCTGACATTACACGTGGTCTTCTTTTGAATGCCTCCCCACCCTAAATGAGACTGGTAAGTCCATACTAAAGCTATTTTCAAAAGAACGCTCTATTTAGCTACTTCATTGGATATATTATTGACTTCCTTGTCCGACAGCCTTTTGATTGACTCTTTACTCGGTGCCACCTCTCAAACTCGCCGACTTCGTGCTTCCTGAAAGTAAAGACTTTATGACTATCCATTATTGGCAATCCACATAAATATGTATTCCTTCGATCTGTAGACCTTGCTCCTGTAGCCGGCCTGCCACCCTTTTTATAGCAAATATTTCGGCTGAACAGTTATTGCAATGATGTGACAGCTTGAAGAACTCCTTAACTCTCGTCTCCCTCACTCATAATAGAATCATCTGTAAAATTATGAAAACCCCTGATAACAAACTTAAGTCCTTTATGTCATCAGGTTTGAATTGCTGTCCCTGTTTTAGATCCTCGACTGTGGAACTATTTTAAGCTTTAAAGCCGAGAAAGGAGATAGTAAAGAGTTTACCAACAACCAGTTCAAATTTTTATGCCCAAGAAAGGATCATATATTCGGAAATGCCAATGGTAACAATTATGAGGAACAGCAGCTGGTTCTTCTGCTTACTGAATGTCCTTTGTCGTGTTGTTACATTTTTCTGGCTATTTTGTTTATGAGGCACTCATCATATGGCCATAGTTTCATTTACCCGCATTTTTCGAATAGTGAGCACAATTTACATACTTATCTACAGGGCGAGTTTATTGGCGCAGCCACACAACTCAACCTAAACTCAAGTCAAAAGTCTATACTTTACAATGAACATTTTTCATTTCACTTCTCTTTGCAGCTTCCAGCGTGTGCGGAGGGGTATATTAAGTTTGTTCACTTATTGTTTGCTCCGATTTCGATAAAAAACACAGTGGGATGCGACATAACGATACTCGTCTCCTGTCGATGGATCACAGGCCTTGGCAAAAATCGAAAAATTTTATCATTGCTTGGAGGACACGTTACTTGTGCATACCAAATATAATCTCATTACCACTTAGCGAGTCATATTACATCCTGCTAAGATTCTACTTCGATAGAAACATGTGATTTACCCATAAGCGTGGAAAGTGGAGCGAGAGTCAGTGCAGTGTAGAATAACTATACTGACGGTTCCAAACCTGATTGCTGTGTTCCCGAGAAACTCAAATGACTCTCTCTCAACATATATCTACGAAGGCATTCACTACAGATCATAGCCTTCCAGATGGTGTAGAGCATCTGATAATGTAACGAAAACTTTCCATTGTCTTGTGTCTGTGTTTCTCAGCGATTAATCCTTAAGAGTAAGCACTCTTAGGCTCAATACGAAACTAGTTACGCTTATTGGAGCCGAGAATGGAAAATTTGAAATCTTATGACTTGGCCGGACACCGTCTGTAGTCCCAACCGATTCGTCTCCAGCTGGAATGTCAATCTGGTATTTATGTTTCCTGCTTCCTCCGAACTCAGTTCTCCCTTTACTGTTGATTTCTTACTATTGCTGTAACGGCCATCAGCTATGCGTTGCATGTTGCATTTTACCAATATCGACAACAACATCAGCATCACCATTACCATCATTCATTCATGCGTGATGGCGACGGTGACACCAACAGCAACAGTAACAGTAACAGCAAGAGCGCCACATAACCAACAGCAAGACAAGAGCATCGGTATTGCTGGCCACAGCTGAGTCACAAGCGCCGCTGTTTTCCCTCCTTCTTCAGCTTTTGCGTTGTCCACGTTCAATTGACTCCTATGCCTCGTATGTCACTGCTGGTCGTAACCGCTCGACTCATACGCACTGCCAATGCTCACCTTGATTTCCGTCATGATTTGCACCAGATTCTGCACTAGCGACATGAGGGCAGAGTGAAGTGGAGTTGCCACAAATGGTGCCTAAGTGTTGCTGCAAATGTGATCAATATTGAAGTGTGCATCTGTGTGTTTTGCTGTTGTTTTTGTTTTTCACAAGTCTAACTTCATTTCATAGTTCCACTGTGTTTGCTTTTGTTTTTGTCGCTGGATGCTGTCGCGTCACCGATTATTTATGAGTTCGATTGCTGTGATGCGTTCGAACTGATTGCGCCGACGTTGGGGACAGTGTTGCATATGGTGCCATGAAGAGTCGCATACAAGCATGTCGGCATGGAGAGATTCCTAGCTGTCACGTGTGTGTGCCGTACGCATTCAGCTGTCTTCATTTGCCATGCCAAACTGCAAGCCAATTTATACACACCCATTTGTAGCACGTAGCGCAGCCCCTCTTGCCAACGTCCCTCTCCTCAATCAGACATCAGAGAGTTCTTAGTTCTTGATTTCTAAACAAAGCCAAAAACGACTAGAAAATGTCTTTGATAAATTATGAAACTGTGATTTGCATGCCAACGTCATGACGCGCAATTCAATCAAAATTCCAAGCTGACGGTCGAGGGTTGGGTCACCATCGCACAGATGCCCAATCCTAGATAATGTGCTGCAATGTGTCATCCATGGAGAATGATGATCCCCTGCGAGTAGTGCCTGTTGTTGCTTATTGAGTTGTATGAGCGCGCATATTCATTTCAAAAATGTCAACTGTACGAATAAAGTGTATCCGTGGGTTGTGCGTATTACTCACTCCCTGGAAATAGCTACTCAACTTGTAGAGAAATGAACTTAGATTCGAGTT